TGACAAACATTTTGGTGTTAGAAACGGGTGTCACGAACGATACAAAATCAATTGATCACTATTTGTCCATGCAAGGAAAAAAAAAAACATTTCAAAAATTTATGGCCTCTAGATTCTCCTTGCTCCATAATGAGGGGAATTCTCCTCTCCGTGCCATCACTTTAGAAGTAAAACCTTTGGGTTCACAACTGATCATGGAGATTCTAGGTTGCCTCCAGGTCTCTCTACATGCCTCTTCAATGCAATGAAGAAGAACCTAGATGCCCTTTTTCTAATACAACTTGTATTGCCTTATTTTGACTTTATGCAGTTATTGGATCGAGCAACCTTCACGTAATGTTTCATATCTACCCAAACTTGTATGACCTCCCTCTGAAATTTTACTTCCATTTAGCAGACCACCAAAACTTAGAATGAGCCTTAAAACCTTCTATTCAATGGGAGTCAAACTAGTAACTTAGCATTTCACACTTTTAGATTTACTGCAGAAAAGACTGATAAATTCACAATTTCTCTCAAGTTACAAAGAATATCTCTCTCCAAACTTTTTGGGTTTGAAAATAGAGTAAAAAATACAAAGTAAAGACTCAGTGAGGAACCCCAAAGCATACTATTTCATAGGTTTTTGATTATGACATTAATGTCACCCTTCAATTCACACTTTTGATACTCAGGATGGCACCTCTAAATAAAATGGGCTTTTTCTCTCAATCAACATAGGAATTCTCCAGCAAAAGTTTCTGTCAAAATTATACTGAAAACCACAATATGAAAACATTGTGTGAGCCCCAAATGATAATTTTCAGTAGGAGACTAAATCAATGACATTCACATCACAAAAAATGGTGCTGCTGAATAAATAAGATGAGCCATCTTCAACAAAATGATCTTTCATCTCTATCCACATAGGGTTTCTCTTTCAAATCTTTTTTGTTTAAAAGTAGGCTCAAAATCACAAAAGATTAACTTGGTATTGATCCTTCAACTGAGTAGGGATATAAAACATAGACATTCGTGTCATACAGAACAACCTTCATGGCAGAAAATAGGTCTGAGCACCCTTCAATAAAATAATCGTATCTCCCAAACCATGTGGGATTTCTCCATTAAATTTTATTTCTTTGAAAGTAGTCTCAAAATAAGTGAATAAAAGTTAGATCCCCTCCAAAAATAATAGTAGTTACTTAGTAAAAATTCCACGAAACAAAGTATATAGTTCTTGGTTTCTGCGGTATTAGAATGACATCTCTCATTGATGAGTCCATAATTTCCAAGTTTCACATGATCTCCTACTTAAATTTTGCTGAGTGACACTACTCTCAAAACTGCAAAATAAAAATATGGTTTGTCCAAGAAAAGTATCTCATCCATAGGTCCAAATCAGTGCACCAATACAGCACAAAAAGGCCCTTATCTGCAGTGTGCTTTTCGGTGTTCGAATCATGCTAATAATTTTTCCATGGTGCCTAACTTGAACACCAAGCAAATGAATCCGAAGTTTCTTCTTCCAAACCAAAAAATCAACGAAAAACAATAAAAATATGCCAGTAATGGATCTCGCTTTGATACCAATGAAAGATGGACAATGTGATTTAGTTATGAAGATACAGTTAAAAATTGCTCTTTCTTTTATTCGTATTGGTTAGAACACTTACAAGTGTCCAAAATTCATCTTTAATTCATAGAATAGAACCCTAACACAATCTAGGATCATTACTTGCATGCAAAAAAAAAAGAACTTTTTTTAATTGAAATCAAAACTCGATATATAAGAATGAACCAAAAAACATGGATTAAAATGCAAGATTGCTTTGCCAAGGGTTAACCCCAGGGATCTGTTACACGCTACTTCAGATCTCTACACCGATGGCATGGATTCAAGGTCTTTTCACTATATCTCACACTATGGGAAGCGCTGGTAAACCGTAATTCTATGAGAGCATTTATCAACTTAAGAAATAGGGCCTCTCTACCTCTTTAGGGTTCGCACAAAATTTGGGGAGTGCCACCCTTCTTGATTTGCTTGGGGGTTGGCACCCCCTTCTAACCCTAATTTAGAAAGAGATTAGATGACAGAAAAATAAAATAGAGAGAATGGGGCGTGCAACCCTAGGGAGGAGAGAGAGAGAGATCTAGAGAGACATACATCTTTAGACGCTACCTTAAAGAGGGTACTTATAAAAACAAGTTAGGATTTCTAGGGTCTAAGGTTTGCAATCTGTTTGAGACTTAATCTTGATCATCGATCTAAAGAGACTTGTAGAGTCAAGAGATCTCAGTCACCCAATTTCTAAATCAGCTATCATGATTAAGGGGAAGTTCCAAAAACCATTGTCCTTAAGTTTTTTTGACCCATTTCCATCAAATACTAGATTTTAGAAAAAATATGATATAGTTTCCAAATATCTCAAGTTATGAAACAACTTACAAAAAATTTACTCAATCAATCCCTTCTCTCTCTCAATCAAAGTATTCACTAAATATTTTCTAAAACCTTTGACTTCTTCTAGAAGCATTGTACAACAAGTCCAAAGAGAGAACAAAGAGGTGGGGCATGGAGGCTATGTGGGTCCCATGTGGGCCCCACACCCCCCACTAAGGTGGTTCTCCAAGTGGTGGGCCTTATTCCGAATGGCCCTACGCTCCCTTAGTAATTTTAAATTACTTAACAAATCATTTTTAAAAGCCTCTAACTATTTTTACAATAGCTTTGTATTTGCAGAAGCCTGAAAATCAATTTTTATCTATCCAAATTTTTTTTTTGATAACATAAAATATATAGCATTTTAAAAATTCAATTTAATGTTCCATAAATCGCATCCAAATATTATTCATTGGGAGTTGGATCCATCAGGTCAAGAATCATGTGAATTCATTGAAGCAATTCATTTATTTTAGTAACTGTGAACTACAATCATTTTCTCAAATTGCCCCAACGAAGATCATGACCCACAAGCATTACAGGGGATCATGCTTGGTCCATCAAAGTCATCCACTAAATGAAGAAAGCATGGTCTACTCTATGGATTGCAAGTACCCCTTAAGGACAAGTCCAGGTCACATAGACTTTCACACACTATCACAATGGTGCGTGGGGGTCATCTCTTCCACATATGTACACAACATGCCCTAATGGATTGCTGCCTCGACGGCTATCTAGTGTACGTAGCATGATGGCAATGATGAGAATTTTGGCCCTTGTCCACTAAGGCCACACACGGGCTTTGCATTGTCCCCTGGCCAACCACCCTGGGCATCTTCCTGACATCGTCAAGGGATGACTCTAAAAACCCTTTATGGTTGTGCAACGTGCTCAGGGTTTCAGGGATTTAGACATAACCTGAGCTTAGCTCGTCAAAGCTCAGGTGAGTCACGGCATCAAGTTGCCTCCTTTGGTCCTTCCATTGGAGTTTTTACATCACTATAGTCATAGTTTTACATGCTCATAAGGCCTTTAAATGGCCAAAAAACCCCAACAATCAACACCTCTGAGATAGCCTCAAAGTGCAATCCAACCACTGCCCTTGACCTATTGCACTTTACTTGATCCGCTTTTGACCTGAGAATATCAGCAATATTATTGGTCGGGCTTTCTTATGAAAAACACAATGTCATGTGTATTTCCAATATGTGGATCTCTTCTGGCATTCCTCTCGAGCTTGTTGGTGTCCAACATGATTAAGATTACAAGGCTGGTGGTTGTGACAGAACAACATTGGGAACAAGAAGTGCGGAATGTGAGGGTTGAGGGTAATTCTATGTTAGGGTCATGGTTAACTGATGGGAGAAGAGGGTTGATTCACCCAAGGGATCGAAGAGGAGATGAGAGGAGCATCTAAGGATGGGGGAGTTAGAGAAGAGGTAGAAAGAGGGGATGGTGTAGAGGAGGGCAATGATGGGCTAGTTTGAGGGTGGCAAGTTTCGGACGAGGTGGGTGGGGTGGGGGTTGATGCCAGGTTGAGGGGATTAAGGGTAGGGGTGGGATAGGGGAAGGGTGGAAGCATGGCACAGGTGGAGGTGGGAAAGGGTTATCGGTAGCCATGACATGAGGTCGAAGACCGGCCCTGAAATATCTTTTTTTGTTCGAAAATTCCTTATCAAGGACATAATTGTGTACATCTCCATGGCCAAAAAGATAGAACACACTGACTTGTTATTTAGAAGTTTAAGTGTGATTGGTTTGATTATACGACACTGAGACTGGGTTGCAGGGATTGCTACTGCAAGTAAAAGTGTAATGGATGAAGCAACAAGAGGTAAAGGTATATTTTTATACTTTTTTGAGTTTTTTTGATTAATCTTGGACAATTATTGGATTGTTTGACATTTTGGATGGATTCTTAGTAAGCAAAATGTTTATGAAATGTGTATGGGAATGAGAATAAGGGGGAGTTAGAATTTCCTAGGTAATTTCTGGACTGTATTTTTTTTCTTTCATCGGTGAGTGTTTGTTTTTGAAAACATTGGTTTTGAACCCTATGTTTGCCTTCATTTTGTGTTCTCTCTTTTTGGAGGCATCGCCATGTGTGTGTGTCATTTCACACTTCAAGTCTATGATTTAAACATTTGATGTTCCATTGATGCTTTCTAAGTAATTGCTTCTCTTAAGGCTACTTAGAAGTTCAATAAGCATGCTAACTAGGCCTTTGATTTTGGATAGGGATTTTGTGGTTCTTCTCTCCTTGATGAGTTTGCATTTTTTTTGTTCGATTATAATATTTGTGCTTTAAACTTGGACTCAGGCCTGGAACCTTGGGTCTGAGTCGGACTGAGTCGAGTTTTCCAAAGAACAACAAAGAAACCTTGGGAACTGTTGAGATTCGATCTGTTGCCTAGGATTCCACTCAGACCTGGCACCTTACCAGGTTCGAGTTGGACTTGGAGAGTTTTGAAACACTGCTTGTATGTATCCTGTAGCTCTGGATCTCAAGTTCATACTCGAAAAATATTTTATTACTGAACTGTCAGTTCACATGTAGATTGATTCTTTTCTGTTTCAGGTCTGTATGGAAGAACTACATTGGAGGAATAGCCCATTGATTATGTCACAATGTGGTTCGAAGGGTTCCCCCATAAATATTAGTCAAATGATTGCTTGTGTTGGCCAGCAATCTGTAGGAGGTCGCCGTGCCCCTAATGGATTTATTGACCGCAGTCTTCCTCACTTTCCTCGAAATGACAAAACACCTGCTGTAAGTAAATGGATTTAGACAACTCTTATTGCTTCCATCAAAGCTTGAGTGTCTGCTTTGCTGCACTTGTATGTACCTTCCACAGCTAAAGTTTGCGACCATGAACATTCTTTCATTGGAATTACTGGGATTTCATGAAACACACAACCACACAGACAAAAGCAAATGGCACATGTTGCATGATGCTCCTATGGAGAGACCAGATAAATTTTTTTTTTTTTAAATATTTAATTTAAAAGTAAAATTGTTATTTTTGTTTCATTTATAATTCTTTTAGTTTTATTTTTGGAGATGTTTAATTTTCTGTATAATCTGATTTCTTTTTGAGTTTTCTTTTTTTAATAAGCTTAATACTATTATTGAAATATGTATTTGTGTAATTCCTATTTCGGATAGGCATAATTAGTATGAGAATGCTTTCGTAAATTCTTTATTAATTTTTTTTGTTCTCTCCTATTTTTCCTCACAGATTACTTCTTTTGATAAAACCTAAAAGAAGCTTTGAAGGATACGCATAATTAGTATGAGAATGCTTTCCTAAATTCTCTATTAATTTTTTTTATTCTCTCCTATTTTTCCTCACAGATTACTTCTTTTGATAAAACTTAAAGAAGTTTTTAGGAGAGATGGATACAACATTGTTGGCACCTTCATCATCGAATTTATATAACAAATCAAAAGATATTTTTAGGCTATAAGAACGTTCAGGGATGAAACTTAAGATCCAAATAAAAGATGAGGGGGGATAAATTAGGTAGTAGCGAAATTTAAGATGTCCACTTTTGTTTACTCTCCGCACACAAGTATACACACTGCTAATGGCACGTACATTGCACGGATATGTGAACATATAATAGAAAAAGAGTTTTAAAAAATAATTGAGTGTATTATTTATTTTTAAGAATTAAAAATATCTAGAATAAATTACTTGAATAATTGAAAAGATCCCCAGAGTTATTACCTTATCGTCTAGCTAGAAAAGTATTAGCTAACATATAAAAATTGTAGTTGTGATAATGGAAACCATGAGAAACCTTGATGCCTCCTATGGTCTTCAATACATAAACAGCCAGAGAAATGAAACATCCATGACTTGTTTGCAAAGAAGAATATTAAATTAGGAGAAAGAGAGGATATGGGTTATCTTTGTTACCAAGGGTGAGGATGGCATCCCATCTCGGGTGCTCTACAAAAAAAAAGAAAGGTCAAATAATGATGAAGGAAATCCACAAAATAATGAGGGCCAAACATCCAAAAGAAGTTGCAGCTATAGCCATATAGAGAAAAGGAATAAAAAATCTGCAAGTGATACACCTGTAAAAAACTAAGAAGGTAAAAGGAGTCTTGAGATGTAGTGTTGGCAGAAGAACGAAAAAAATGCTTTTTGTGTGTGTGACTGTGTGTGTGGGGGGGTGGGGGGGGAGAGGAGAGGAAGTGTGTAATGAAAAGACAGTTAGGCATGTTCATTTTCAAGTTGCATGGGAGTAAGCTGTGGATGTTGGATTTTGTAGACTTTAAAGGCCTAGAGAGCGTGTAAAAATGAAATTTTTAGTGGAATATGCACTTAAGTGGGAGTGTGTATGTTGACTGACCAAGGCTTGGCCGGTTTATGGCGTTGGTTATGTCCAAAACGCTTACCCATCGGCATGTGGCACTACTGAGAAGGGTTTACAGTGGGTCATCCCTTGTTGAGGTCGGAGAGATGCCCATGGATGATGTTTGTAGGCCAGAAGAACTGTGTGGTCTCTTGTATGCGATTGTAGGCCTGTGAGAGCAAGGGCCAAAGCATCAACAACCTTTCGCATAATATGTACATATGATAGCCGCATTATTGGGAAGCAACCTTATAGATGGACACGTATATAGTTGGGGAACCCGAACTATACATAGAGAGAGCTCCCTTTGCACTGTAATGACAAGTGTTGGACTTACTCTTAAAGGAGAAACTGAAATCCAAGTTTCATTACAATGGTTCCATTGTTTATTGTCCAACTTTGACAAGCCAATCATATGCTCCTGCAACGAGATTGTGGGTCATGGGGTATTTTTTAGGTTGAGCAAGAAAACATAGTGGATCATGATTCTTAGGTCAAGTGGAGTACCCTATTTTATTTTGGTACTATAAATGTTTTTGTGATTTTTTACAAACTTTTCAGAAATTTAAAAATTTATTTATGCTGTAAAATGTTTCTAATGGGCATTTTCATAATTTTGAAATGTTGAAGGGCACATGTGGGGCCCAAGATCCAAGTAGGAGAAGGCTACCATAATTGTTCCTTTTGGCTAGGAATAGAGAGGCTACAGTAGAGGACGAGTTCTTGATGGAAAGACGTAGAGGGCATTGGAACCCCTACTTTAGAAGGAGCCTGTCTGAACCCGAAACCTCTCAATTCATCTCCCTCTCGTCCTTACTCTCTAAGACCTTTATCCCTTCTCAGGGAAGGGACAAGTTTGTGTGGTCCCTGATTCCTTTTGGGGACTTCTCTGTGTTATCTTTTTACAAAATTCTCACCCAACCTCCTACATTCCCTCTCAATCCCACCTCGATTTTTTCTCAGGTATAACGGTCAATCGCACCCTCTAAAGTGCAAATGTTCAACTGGATAGCAGGATCTAGCAGGGCCCTCACTGTGGACCAACTACAAAGGAAAGGTTTTTTCCTTCCAAATAGGTGCATTTTGTGTTTGTCCCAAGAGGAATCAAACAACCATTTATGTTTGCTGTGCAACGTGGCACACGAATTATGGGGGTTTTATCCTTCCACTGTTTGGGGTGTACTGGGTGATTCCCTCAACGGTCAAGGACCTTCTGGCGGTAAATTTCGCTGATCACTAGCCTAAGGCCGGCAGGATCCTTTGGAAAGCAACCGTGGCTGCTACAATTTGGACGCTGTGGACAGAAAGAAATGCCCGTATCTTTAGGGGGACAGTCAAACCCGGCAGAGTGCTCTTCGCCAAGGTTACCTCCTTACTAACCTTCTGGGCGACCCAACTCTTCCTCTTCAATGGAATCTCCAGGGACTCTTTCCTCACCAACTGGGAGCACATCCTCCGACAAAACCCGAAGAAAAACAAGGTTAAATCCCCTTGGACACCTCCTCCCCGAGTCTCAATCAAACTGAATTTTGATGGATGCTCCTTAGACAACCCAAGCCATGCTGGGGCTGGTGGGGTATTCAGGGACCATCAATAAAACATTCTCTTCACCTATTCTGAATATCTTGGTCAGCATGACTCCCAGTTCACAGAATCTATGACTCTCCTTAGAGGCCTACAATGTTTCGATCGGTCTTGGGGCAGTTCCCTCTCGGTGTAGGGTGATGCAAAAAACATTATCTCTTGGGCTTCTGGGACTACGACCCCACCTTGGCATCTTTTATCCATTTTTTGATGAGATTAACTACCTATGCAGGGAGATGATAGTATCAGGGACTCATATCTCGAGGACATCAAACGGGTTCGCCGATCTGCTAGCTAAAGATGGAGCCTCGGCCCATGAAGATGCTTAGCCACGCCTATCTTTCTTGGCTGCTTGCTGCTTTGGTTCCCTTAATCTTCGGCCCTCACTACTGGCTTTCCTCCTACGTCAGTTTTTTGCTTTGTCTTTCTCTCTCTTTTGTAAGTCTCGTGTACATGTGCCAAATACGATGTAAGGGGATAATTCTATAACCCCATTTTGTTTACGGTCATTTGACCAAATCGTTTTTACAAGGAGTCTCTCTTAGATTCTCTTGGAATAACCTTGTATCTCTTTCTTCATATCAATACAACAGTTAACAGTTATCAAAAAAAATTCTTTCTATTTAAACACCATTGGGCCCTTCTCTTTCAAGACACATATGTCTCTCTTCTCCATGCGCAAGTCTCTCCCTCTTTCATTAAAAATTCACTTTTCTCTTTCCCCCCCTTCCAAAATGGGTCCTGCCACCCAAAATTTAATAAGACTAGGGTGGCACATTGAAACCCTAATTAGGGTTTTTTGCTGTTTGAAAAAGAAAAAAGGTATGCTCAACATAGGAGGATTCTATGCCTTCTAGTGCAATCCTAATTTGTTCCTGAGAGTTCCTACAAACCCTAGTTAGGTTTCCATGCTCTCAAAAACCCTATATAGAAAGAGGTATTGCCTATGAAAGCTTCCCATCTCTACTATTCCAGGAAGATCAAAAGGGACAAAAAGCACGCCATCGGTCAGAGAGTTGGGTGTAGGGTGTATCAAGCCCTGTGAGAGTAACTCTAGGCATCTTCTAGTAAGTCTTCCTTGTAGTTTTTATTATTTTCAGTCATATTTCATATTTGCTTTTGTGAATTTCCCGGAACATTTTTTGTACTTAAAATTACAGTGGAAGATTGGTTTTTTTTTCTGGATGGTTTTTATTTGCTTTGCCAATAAAAGTAAAGCTCTCAGGTTGTGTTTTGGGTTTTAAATTTAAGTTAACAACAGTGTATAGTGGTCCTTTTAAGTGGAATTCAGGTTATATTGAATAAAAGGAAAAGAAATTTTTTGAATTTTATACCTTGAGTTCCACATAGCCACTCCTTTCACATGTATAATTCCCTGCATATCCAGCACATGTTCCCATGGATGCATGCATACACCTATGTTTTTGTGATGCATTGTCCATGCATAAACGCTAGCGTGTTCATCTTTGAAGTATGATATTGATGATATAATTAGTGACACCATATTATGGTTAACCCTTTATGCTTTCAGGCTAAGGGGTTTGTGGCGAATTCTTTCTACACTGGGTTGACAGCAGCTGAGTTTTTCTTTCATACAATGGGTGGCCGGGAGGGCCTTGTTGATACTGCGGTAACCATTGCGTTTTGATCATTCTCAAAATATATTTAAATTAACTGGATATGCATGTGTTTCAATGAGGTTTCACTTCATTATTTTTCAGATATTATTTGAAGGTACCTCTGGTTTATCTTTATGTGACTGTAGTGTTTCTTATTGAACTCAAGGATTATTCAGGATTGTAATAAGTTGTTGACTACACAGTTGAAAATTTTGATGTGGTACAGGCAAATTCTATATTTGTATTGAAATTTTCAGTTCAGATTAGGAACAGGAAAGTGTGCATATGTATCTTGTTATATAGCAGAACGAATTAGGAACCCCGCCTAGATTTCCCAAAGCAATCATCTTTTCTAATTCTCACTTATCTCACACTGCCTCGAAAAAAAAAAAAAAATCTTAATCTCACCATATCAAATCCCAACTTTTGACTTCAGGGAAGATATTCTATCACATGTATCACATTGTAAAGACGCAATTACCTGGTGATTTGGGGGACTTTAGCAATGGAAATTTCGAGTGGACATGATTCAAGATATGGAAGCCAGTTCTAAGGTCCATTTGTTCAAGAAAGCCAAGTGCATAGTTGTCCTACACCTAGAGGATTTCAATCTCTCAGGAAAATTGCCAACTCAATTCTGAGGTGATACCTTTGAAATATAAATTTCTGATGGGAGTGTGTAGCAAGCACATTTAGAAATTTAGTGTGGGTAAATCTACGATATAATGTCAGGGTAGATAAAGATGTGATGCTAGCCTTGGTGAGAGAGGCTGGCTCACTTGAAAATCACATTCACTAAGCTAATGCCTGTGTTTCTTCTGTATGTCTCTTTGTTTGTTTGTGTATTTGCATGTGCATGTGCATGTGCACGAGCACATGCATTTGTGTGTCTGTGCGGATGAGTGTGCATGTGTGCATTTGTGTGTGTTGCATGTGCATATAAGGTAATAGTCATGTAGGACAGACTTCACATGAATTTTTAGGAGTTCTTTCTACCACAGTCAGATCTCTAATATTTCTGGATGGGACCTTAATACCTCGGCCTCTCCACGGCATTGTTTTGCGGATATGGGCAATCTACTGGTTGTAGAAGTGACTCTAATAATAATCTTGTGTGGGTATGCATGTGTTTATATGCTTGACGATGCATGTGCATGCATGTTTGTGTTTTCGTGTCTCTTAGATGTTTAAAAGTAGGCCAGGGGTCCTTGCCCGCCCAGACAGGTGCCCCATGATTGAGGCACCCCGAAGGAAAATAGGGAGGGGGGTTGGTACTTCACCGACCGCTTCTATTTCCTTTGGTAAATGGGCCCACCTTCATAGCCATTTCATTATTTCTCGTCTTCTGATAAGCTGCTACATCTAATCCTCGATGGGGACCTTGTGTGGAAGTGACCCAGATGACTGATACAGCACTTGCTGGTTGCACTCGATTGCTCGATCCTTCAGCTGTATCAAGCCCCCTACAATCCAAACTTGGGCCATCAAAATCTTGGATGCAAGGGGATTAGTATGGAAGCGACATCCTTGACTTCCACTACAAATTTGGCTGCCACCGCGACCCTTAAGTGCAACTGTTCCACAAAAATCAGTACCTTTTCTACTGCTAGTCCATTCCAACTCTCTTCAGCCTTAAGTTCAAGTTGATACACCTCATCTACTTCCAAAGGAGATATACAGAACCTCATCTTGTATTTGGAATTTTAGCCCATTAATATAGCAAGCTATGGACTGTTCCTCACTCTCTTGGAGCCCATTCTTCATATCGAGTTTGTAGAACTTCATTCGTGTATCCCCCATAAACTCCTTTCTCCTTAACTGCAAGTTCTGAAATTTTCTGACAAGAGCTTGGGTGTAATCTGAAAGGTGGACTATGTGACTTGGCAAGTTCAATACGATTAAATTTTTTATATCTTTTCTTATGTATTGCCACCTGAATCACTCGTAACTGTCCGAATACAATATATGAACCAAATAAAATTACCAAGGACTCTCGCTTGCTATTGAAACGAGATCGCATTCATAACTTAGATATGCAAATTACATAAAAGATGCAATTAAATTAAGAGAGCATAAGGCAGGAAATTACTGTATACCTTGCCTTAGGTTACCCCCAAGGACTTCGTACACCCCACACCAGGTTTCCTCCACCAACGGTACACAGGATCTACGTTCAATAACTTGTCTCACAACTTGGGAAGACTAGGCAAAACTAGCAAAGAGCATTACATGGGATAAACTAGACCAAGGCTCAACACATGAGCATAAAGCCAAGACCCAGGGCTAGAATATGTGGCTTGGGCGTGCCACCCCTTTAGCTCAGAGAGAGAGAGAGTTGAGCTGTAGAGAATGAACCCCCCCTCCATAGTTAGTTTATATTGAACAAAGACTAGGGTTTTGCCATCATTATGAGATATAATCTTGACTTTTGATCTTGGAGACCTGTGGGGTAAAAAGATCTAATCATTCATTATTTAGATCAACCATCATGATTAATGGAATGAGGTGGAACCATTATCCCTCTGTTTCCATGGCTCTATTCCCATCAAATATTGTGTAGAGGAAATATTAAATTTAAATCTATTTCAATTATTTTCTTCCACTTAACTTTTTGAAAACAATCAAAATCTCTATACAAAACACTTTCCTAAAATTCTCAAATCAACCCATAGCTTAATTTCCATAATTTAAGCTAGGAAAGTAAAGAGGAGGTGGGGTGCACCCAAGGTTTCAAAAAACGCTTGGCGGTTCCTAAGCGGCTGGCCTAGAGTCTAGTGCCCAGGTGGGCGCCCAGAACCTTCGGCCCCCTGTTGTACAAGTTATATAGATATGTAGTATATATACATATATTTGTGTCAATTTTAGAATTTATTACAATTGAAAATATTGTAACATATTTTTGTATATACAAAAATATGACATATCGCATAATGAGAATAAACTTGTTCAAAATTTCAAAATTCGAACTATACAAAATTTAAAAGTCTAATAGGATATGTATTAGTAATGGCTCCAACTTTCCATATTTTATAATAAGTGAAAATGTTTAGGAAGGTTCTTCAAACCACAAAAAATACTTTTGATTCTCAGAAACAAGTATTGCTAAGAGATTGAGGGTTTATGAAATTTTTCTTTTAACTTTGGGCACCCCAAAACCTATTTAAACCTCAAAATTACCCCATTTTCCCTTTTGAGTATTTTAAAAAAAAAAAACCGACGTCCCTGGGCGTTCGCCTAGGCAGCCCCTTGGCTTGCCTGGGCGCCTGCCCAGGTATATCCGCTCGTGTAGGGCCGCCTGGGTCTAGTCATGCGGTATTTTTGTTCAGGCTGCCTAGGAGGGCGCCTAGGCGCCGTGCGGACCATTTTTTAAAACATTGGGTGGATCACCCATAGGGTGGCCATGTGGGCCCCACCCCCCACAATATGGTGGACCCAATGAACCCCAATGGGCCCCCAATACCTTAAAGATACTTCTCAGATCATAAAATAATTTTTATAAAGCTTCTAAATATTTTGTTGTTTTCTCTAATCAATATAAATCCAGAAAATTGATTTATCTTTATTAAAAAGACATTTTTCGATAAATAAAATACTCAGAGAGGTCTAAAAGTTCATTTTAATCATTTGAAAATAATTATAACATATTTAAACGTATCTAAGAAGATTTGATGGGAATTTGATCCATAGAGTTAGGATTACAACAAATATATTGAGGACTCCATCCTCTTTAAAGAGTGCATCTCACTACACCTTCTCAAACTGGCCCAATAGTTATCATGAACCATGACCCCCTGCAGTGGTTCATGATTGGACTATCAAAGTCCGCCAATAAATGAAAGAGATACAATCCTAATCCATGGATTACAGTTCCCTTCCTGAGGACAAGTCCAGGCCCCATTTCAGCACTATTCTTCATGAGTCTTTCTAGCACAGTCCAATGTTACAAGGAGTCATCTCTTCCGCAAGTGTACCCGTCACACACCCTTATCCAAAGGGCTGCTTCTCGGATGGCTATGTAGTATACATTCCTTGTGATAGCATTGATGAGGATTTTGGCCACTTGTCCTCTTAGGCCACCCATCACACACAGGGTCAAATCCATGTCCCCTGGCCAACTGTCTTGGGCACAACTCCGACCTCATTAAGGGATAACTCCACATCGAAACCCGTCATCGGTTGTTCTCACACAATGCCCAGGACTACGGGTTTTTGGACATCACATTGAGCCACAACCAGTCAAAGCTCAGGTGAATTTAGGCATTAGCAATGCCTCAAAGTCCAAACTGGACCACATGCCCACTAGAGCTAATATATCACTATGTAATTTCAGTTCATGCTCTCATAAGGCCTTTAAATGGCTACATAACCCCAACATAATCATTTGGTGAGACCTTTGTGTGCACATATTTCCTCATTTTCTTTGATCTTCTATGTTGCTCTTATGTTCGCTCTTTTAATGTTTCTAACTTTGACCAACAAATTGATGCATGACCGCAGAATCTAGTAGCCACAAATTTCAACTATTTATGCTCCTAGAGATCCTTCCATTTGAAGAAGTTCTCTATCGTGCTGATCTAATAGAAAAAGGAGCTTTGAGATCAAGGTGGCCATGGAACTCTAGCATATCTATTGTTATCTAATGGTCCTTACCATGTTTAGATACTCGAATCTCTCTTCTTCCAGCATTGCTTGCGGGGCATGATGATGGAAGGGATTTACATTGTTCCGTGCAACAATTAGAAAATTTGAGACCTGGCTTGGGACTTGTCCTAGTCAGGTCAGCACCTGAGGCAAGGCCTTAGAACTCACCCTGATTCTCCAATTTTTTAAAAGGAAATTCCCAATTTTTGTGTTAAAATAATACCTAGTCCGATGTGGGACTCATCCGAGCCGGATTGGTCCTGTAGCTCGGGAGCCTGACATGTCTTGGCCCAAGCCCGTGTTTTTCAGACACTGGTTCCTCGGGATCCTTTTATACCTATCCATCTTCATGATTGGATTGCGGCTGGTG